TCACTTCGTAAATTATATAAATGTCTAACCACTATGCTGCATACTTGAAACTAATATAAAATAATATTGAATGCCAACTGTAATTGAAAAATAAAAACTAATAAAATTGTACACTTTAAATATAAAAAATGGTATTTGACATTTGTTAAGTAGTAAAGAAGACTTTATTCAAGACTATTGCAGTAGGGGTATTGCAACAGGGTAGAGAGACTGGCTCGACTCTGCAGCAAAGACAGCTGGAGATTTATAATGCAAGAGCAGAGTGAGGAGGTCAGTACATGAAAAGTTACTAAAAGGGGACATCAGGAGTACAGGGGTTCTTGTTAAACTGGCATAACAAGATTCTTGTTGAAGGTAGGCCAAGGACTTATACAGATGACCCCCAACTTATAATGGTTCAACTTAACAATTTCAACTTTGCGATAGCACAAAAGCAATCCACGTAAGTTACAATTATTTTTTTAATACTCACTTGAGGATATGTTTATTGATTTGAGAGAGAGAGGAAGAGAGAGAAACATCAATGTGAGAGAAACACTGATCGGTTGCCTCCCATATGTGCTCTAACTGGCAATTGAACCAGCAATGTACTTAGGGGCCCTGACAGGAAATCAAACCCAAAACCTTCTGGTGCATGGGACAGCACTCCAATCAACTGCGACACCCAGCAAGGGTGAGATATTTAACATCTTATAAAATGAGCTCTGTGTTAGATGATTTTGCCCAACTCTAATATAAGTGTTCTGAGCATGTTTAAGATAGACTAGGCTAAGCTGTGATGTTCAGTAGGTTAGGTATATTAAACACATTTCTTATGATACTTTCAGTTTATGATGGGTTTATTAGGAAGTACTCCTATTGCAAGTGGAGGAGCATCTCTACATCAGAAGTGGGGGTTGAGGAATTTGATTACATAATGAGGATGATCAGATATCAAGTGTGGGAGGACTCCTGCTAAACTTACTATGATGGCTAAATTTATGTGTCAACTTGACTGGGCTAAGGAATACAGAGATAGCTGGTAAACATTGTTTCTGATTGTGTCTGTGAAGGTGTTTCTGGAAGAAATTAGCATGTGAATCAGTAGAGACTCAATACAGAAGATCTGCCCTCACCGATGTGGGCAGACATCATCCAATTCACTGAGGGCCCAAATAAAAGGGTAGAGGGAGGGGGAATCAGTCTCTCTTCTTGATCTGGGACCGCCATCTTTGGCCTTAACTGGGACTTACAGCATGAGTTCTCAGGCCTTTGGACACAGACTGAGTTATCCCACTGGCTTTCCTGGTCCTTCAGCTTGCAGATAGTATATTGTGGCATTTCTCAGCCTCCATAATAGCGTGAGCCAATTTCTAGAATGAACTCCTCTTACATATCCTATTAGTTCTGTCTCTCTAGAGAACCCAACTAAACTTAGTACGGTTCTGGCTAAAACTAGGCTAGGCAGGCTGAAGATGGAACAGGGTCCAACATCAAGGCCTAGTCAAAAAGAGAACTCAGAGGAGCCTGTCTACAGTTCGATCAAGGAAAGAACCTCTGTCTGAGTTCACTCTGGCCTTGTGGAGAGGCTGCACCACAGGGAGAGGGAGATGACCCTTCAGCTGTTCCAGCTGTCCCAACTGAAGAGAGAGAGAGGAGCTAAGAAGTCATTTTGGATGGCCTAGTCCCAGCAGATGGCATGTAGAACAGGAATATGCTATCTCGCTGAGCCCTACCCAAACTGCAGTTTTATGAGCAAATAAAATTATTGTTGTTGTTTTAAAACATTGTTTCAGAATGATGCTTTGTCACATAGTGATGCACAAGTGAAACAGGCAGACTATCTCATTAATTAATCAAATACACCCAGGCATGCCTGTATTCTTTGATGGAATAGGAATAGGCCCTCGCTGGGCCAGCCCTGCTATAGCTATAGCTGTATGCATGTCTACCTTGCCCTTTATACTTACTAGAAACTTGGGCAATAGTTATTTTATTATCTATATCTGTAGCCCTAGCATCCCTCAGAGTATCTGGCACATAGTAGCTTCTCAATATGTTCATATTGGGTGGGTTAGAGGCCATGGGTGAGCACAGATATTATCGAATCTGCCAATTTCTTCCCCTTGCCACTTTCTTTCGAAGCTCACAGGTCAGTTTACTTACAAATCCAGCAACCCTCTCCCACCAACATACACATATACATCACATCTCTTCTTTCATCTCTTTCCTCCTGCTGCTTTCAATTTGTACTCAACAATTTAAGAATATTTTTCTTGTCAACCTCTATCTTCTCTTTCCACCTTTATGAACCCCACCCCTACCCAATAGCCTCAACCAAGGTTGATAGGTTGAATTTAATAGCATGAGGAAAACGAAGACAGTTTGATAAAAATTAGCTTTGAAAACAAGTGCCATTGATTTCTCAAGCCCTTTCATTATCTCCACAATTTTCTCTGTCCAATTTCATCCTTCATTAATCAACCTGCTTTTCCACAAGCATAAGCATTTAAAAACCTTATATTTGGTTACTGTTTCTTTAATCATCAGTGTAGTAACAACGTTGCTGTCTTCCCACCCCCCTTTTTCCTTGTATTTGTACACTATTTCAACAATAGTGTAGAGTTAAATAGGAGTTATGGATCTAGCATTGAATAGCACTCAAAAATATTAGCTCCATCATTAACTCAGTGTACATGAACCAGAAAATATAACCAATTTTTATATTGGCCTTTTTAATCTTAAATTTCTTACTTACATGGCTCTAAGAAAACAACTCCATGGTAAGTAGGGTATTACATGTGTTAAACCTCAGACTACCTTATTTGTTTCCCCCTTTTCCCATATGTGTATATAAAATGTTAATATTCTGAAAAGCATTTGAATTTTTGTGATACAGCTAAAGTATGAAAGCAGAGTCCTAAAACAGGTGAACTGTGTTTTTTAAAAGTTTGGATTCATTTCATCCCTAAATGTTTGGTTTGGTTTGGTTTGGTCGTTGCATGAAGCTCTTTGTACAGGAATCCTGCATTCTTTAGAAATAATATTTATTTGTTTACTATAGCACCAAACTAACCAGGTACTAATAAACTACAAGGAAGATTGAGAGGCAGAATTTAGGGCAGAGGGAAAAGTCAGGGGCTCACAGTCAGACTAGCTTGGCATCTACACTCAGCTGTCATTAGCACGAATGGGCCAATTACCTAACCTCAGTGGAACTAAGCTTTTTGGAGACTTTTGTTTGTTTAGTTTGTTTTTTCCATCTGTAAAAGAGAATACAGGACCTACCTTACCTTGCCCACTTTTTTAGAAAGTATCTTTGTAGGTGTGAAATAAGCAAGAGCTACTAAAATAGAAATTGAGGCAGGATAGTATGAAGTTAGGAAAATTCCTTGGCAAGTGAAATAGGAAAACTGAGACAAATAGCTAAACAAAATGGCCAAGCAACTTATAGCCAGATACAAAAGGTCACTTCCCTAGGGATAACACCTAGGCTTCAGTTGTATTGGGTTGGCCAAAATGTCCCTTTAGTTTTTTCTGTAGTTTTTTCATTTTCACCAACTTCATTTACTCAGATATTTTGAGTATCCCTGCTATCTCCCACGTGATATGTTGATTGTTCTCAAGGTCTCAATTTGATCATTATCAACTTCAACTGGTCTACCCCACCAGGGAGCATCCTCCAGCAAGAAATCCCCAGCACAAAACTTCACAAACCACTTTTGACATATTTGATCAGTCACAGCACCTTCTCCATACACTACACAAATCTTTTTTTGTTTCGGCTGCATTTTTACCTTTCTTAAAATTATAAAGCATAATATGTTTAAAATGTTGCATATTTTCTACTATCTTCAATATTAAAATAGCTATACAAAAATTCACCAGTTTTGGTTTAAGTGCAAGCTGATATGACACTGTAACCATATAATCTAACAAAATTGTTTTGAATGACATTAAAGATAACTAAGTGCTACTAGAGCCATCTCATGGAATAAACCAAACGAACTTTTTGGCCAACATGTTTTAGCTCCAAGCCTACAAGAGGGTGACACCAGAACCAACTGCAATGACTAACCCCCCCTGTCCTGTCACTGACTAATCAGTGGAAACCATGACCCTGAAAGAACACACCAGGAAAACTATTGAGTATTCTGCTGAAACCCTCCCCTGAGACCTTCTCTAAGATTCCTGCCTGTAAGAGAGAGAGAAAAGTCTCAAGGCAAAAGACCCAGTAAGTGCACTCTCCCCTCTGGGGAGCAGCCCAACCCATTCCCTTTTCCCTCCTCTTCATCTAAACTGGAAGGCAATGGGCAGGCAACGGGCAGGTGCAGCTTATCCCAGGCTAATCCCCTGAACCTGTTCCCAAGATCCCCTGGGCCTCCTCTTGCTTCTTCTACCCTAAGTTCTTCCTTGTTTTACTGTCCCCAAATTTAAGTCACCTGGACTCGTGTTGCGAGGTCATTCCTGCACAAAGTTAAGAACCCACACGCTATGGCCTGGCCCTTGGGAGGCCCATTCCCGGCCATGCCCGTTTGGTAACCAGAAATGAAGGTGTGTTTAGTTGAAGAACAGGAATGCTGAAACAGTGCTTTTCAATTAATCTAAACTATGCAAAAATATAGAATTTTAGTGTAGAAGATGACCTTCAAAAGTCTAAAAAGGTGTGTAGCCAAACTTAGGCCCAGAAGGGAATAAAGATAAAACATAATGGGTATCCTCTTGCCTGCTCCAACAACCTGCTTGAAACTACATAGACTAACCCCGGTATAGAGCCCTCCTCTAGTGGTGAGGGTACCTAGCACCATACAAACTACTGTGAAATTCCATTTCAGCAACAGCGCCTGCGCCCAAAAGTCTCGTTTTGACGACATAAAGGAAAGAATTGGAAACTTCCGCGAATCCTATCGCGAGAGGATAGACCCAAATGCCACGTAAGGAACTAGAGATCCTGGCGCCGAGCGACAGGCGCCGGAACAAACGGACAGTGAAAAGCCGTAGAAGTGTAAGCGTTCCGGTGGGCAGGACTTCCGCCGGAAAATGGGGTGGTCTGGGAAATCTCAGAGCCGAGTTCCGGTGGGTATTCTGGCGGGGGTCTCACCGAGTGGGCACCGGTGGCAATGGCTTGCGCGGCGGCGCGAACTCCGGCGGACCAGGACAGGTGGGTCCTGAGAAAGGGAGGGGCTTGCTGCCAGCCCGCAGGTGTTGGGTCGCCTTCCCCAGCCCCGAGAAGCGTTCGCCGGTGCAGCTCTGAGCCCCTCTCCGGGCGTTCATTTCTTCGAACCAGGCTCTGAGCAGGGTCCCTGAAATTCTCACTTAGGTAGCTCACGGTTTACCTGGTTTACCTGTACGTGACGCAAACGACTTTGGGTGCTACGTGGACGTGTCATTAAGTAACAGAATCACAGAGTGAGGACTGTTTTGGTTTTTAACTATTGTGACGTTTCAGGAAGTCTCCCTGGGATTCTCTAAAGTTATTAATCCTCTCTGATCCCGTACTTTCTCTAATGAGAGTGGGGCCTACCTCAGGAATTTTTGACAGGAAGCTGTATCTAACTGAGGAGTTATGACTTTTTTAACTTTCGTAAGTGGTGTTTTTTTTCCATCTAAAGTGGTGAGTTAAAGTTTCCTTTTTAAGTAAGAGGGAGACAGTATAAAGAAAAATACGCGAAGAATGGTATAAGTGTACCGGCAGTCGCGATGACGATGAATGAATGAGTGAAGTTTTGGAAATACTGCTCTCATGATACTAGCCGTGCTTTTTCTGTGGCAGGTTTATTTGTATATATCCTGCTTATTTAAATAACAAGAAGACCATCGCGGAGGGCCGGCGAATCCCCGTAAGTAAGGTGAGCAGGCCGACACCTTGGTCCTTAAGGGGAGGTTTTACTCTTAGGACCACAAAGGCTTCTTTTCACTTTACTGCATTGGCTGGGTGGGGAGGGCGCTGAGGAGAACAGTAGTCAGGAATTGGGTGTTTTCCTTAATAATGGTAAAACCAGAAAGGCACTAATTCATAGCTGAAGGAATTTTTTAAAGTGATTTTTCATGAACCTGTGTTTGAATGAGGAGAGGGTTGTAGGAACTGCACTGTTTTCATTTAAACCAGGGTTATGATAATCTTCCTCTTAATAAAGGAAACAGAAACTCTGTCACTGTACAATGTAATGTCCAGAATGCACTGGAGTTTTTAAAGAAAACTTGCAGAAAGTTCAGAGTTGTTGAGTTTTATGGTTTTATATGAAGTACCTAATGCCAAGAGAAGGGTCTTTGTTAAAGCATTTTATTTTCAAAATTGATGTCATAATTTATTTTTAAGAATTGCATTTTTTTAATCTAACACCAGATTTCAGGTAATCTGGTCTGAAGTATTGAATTTGTTATTTTTTTGTTATTTAATATTTCCTACTTTCTGCCTAAATGTATAAAGGAAGATCTGTTTTGCTGCCTCAGGATAAAAGAGAAAATACCAAAGCACTAGTTTGGAATAATGCCTGACTTGAGCCGCTGTAACAGAGGCCTCTGGGAGGAAGCTCTCAGATAATTTGGAGAATGGTTAAGTTATTTTTAACTTTTTTGATACATAGCATACATACAGAAACATACAAATTTTAAGTGTCTATCTTAATTTTCACAGAATGAATACACATAGGTAACCAGCACCCAGGAAGATTCCTTTATGTCTCTTCCCAGTCACTGTCCTCTCCACATATATGTACATACAAGGACAACCACTGTGTCATCATGATAGATTACTTTTGCTTGTTTTTGAATTTTATTTAAATAGCATTATACACTATTTTTGCATCTGTCTTTTTTTCACTGGATTTTAAGCTTATGAGAGTTATCCACATTTTTTAGTGAAGTTCAATTAGCATTGCTCTGTAATGGCATTTCTCAACTGCGGCTCTGTTGACATTTTGAGCCAGATAATTCATTGTTGTGGAGACTGTCCTGTGCATTTAGGTTGTTTAACAGCATCCTGGGCTTTTACGTACTGGATGCCAGTGCCTTACGCCACCCTAGTTGTGACAGTCAAAAATGTGTCCAAGCGTTGCCAAATGTTGTTTGGGGGGCAAAATTGCTTGATGAAAACCACTGCTATACAGTATTGCATTGCATAACATACCGTGGTCCCTTCTACTGTTGATGGATAATTGGGTGATTTCTAGTGTGGGGCTATTATGAATAGGGCTGCTGTGAACATTCTTGAGTTTATTTTTAGTGAATGTATTGTTGCATTTTTCTTGAATATAATCTTAGAAGTGGAATTGCAGGGCCCCAATGAATGCATACATTTGGCTTTAGCAGATACTGCCAAACAATTTTCCAAAGTGACTGTATCTGTGTTAGTTGTTTAAACTGTATTCATTGAGCACCTACTATGTTGCAAGTATCATGCCAGGTGCTGGGGAATATACTGGTGAACAAAATAATCCTTGACCTTGTGAAGTTTATGTTCTTTTGGAAGGGAGATGGACACAGAAGTATGAATCAGTGTAGTTCCTGGGAATTAAAAAATAATATATATATAATTACAATGGAAACAACTGTACCTAGTAGAAAAGGGAACCTAGGATTTGGTACATGTTTTGATCATAGTATTTAAAATAATTTACACAGCAGTATTGCAATATCCACTTAAAGCTAAGCTGTTTAATGTTTTTTTTTTAACTGTTTAGGCTGTTGAAAATCCTACAGCTACAGAGATTCAAGATGTGTGCTCAGCAGTTGGACTTAATGTCTTTCTTGAGGTATGGTGTGGTTTTTTCCTTCACTATTTTCCATACTCATCTCATTGATATAACTTTTAAACAGAGTCTGTTTTGTTTTGTTTTTTATGTTAGAAAAATAAAATGTACTCCAGAGAATGGAATCGTGATGCTCAGTACAGGGGCAGAGTCCGGGTCCAACTTAAACAGGAAGATGGCAGCCTGTGTCTTGTACAGTTCCCATCACGTAAGCTTTTTTTAAATGAATGAATAAAATTTGGTGGTAGGTTATTTCTCAGTGCTGCAAAAAAAGTTCTGATATTTTGAAAGGTAAAAATAATGGGTGTTCTACAGATTAATTTAGAGAAAGGACTACTGCTGATGGAAAGGTAAACAGTGGTTCTGATTTCTTTAAAGCTAAGACCTATTTGATAAAGTGATGAAACCTACTGATGGTTTCTCAAAAAATACTGTTTTGTGAACATTTTATAAACCTCTGGAAGTCCATCATTGCTCCCAGGTTAAGTGTATAAAATTAGCCCTGGCTGAGAAGCTGATTTAGGTAGAGCATTGTCCCAATGTTCCAAGATTGTGGGTTTGATTCCCACCCAGTCAGGGCACATAGAAGAGTCAACCAGTAAATGCATAAATAATTGGAACAACTAATCAATGTTTCTTTCTCTCTCAAATCAAATTTTTTAAAAAGAGTGTAAAATTATTGTCAGTTGTTAATTGCCATTTCAGATCCCAGAGATCCTGAGGTCTGTTTATAATTTCTATCATTAATAAATCTAAAAAGCTATATTTAGTAGAAAAAAGCAACATATGTGCATAGCTTGGTACCACTAGGTAAATTTAAATATGAAATAAGAAAATACCCAGTCTTAAGATTGTAGTTAACTTAATAGCAAGCAGGGCAGGGGGTGAGGAGTGGGGATGGGGAGTTATGAGAAGACTGTAGCATTATCCCTGGTTTTATTTCTTAAAAAAAAAAAATAACAACACTGGGCATTGATATTCCAAGAATATTAATTCTGGATATTGGAAAGAGAACTATTTATTTACATGTTATTCATTTCTGAATATTTTTTTATTTCTGAAACATATGTTTTAATTTTTTAAAATGGAGGTTTTGTGTATGTGTGTGTGAGACACAATAACCCCAGACTGACAACTTGCTTTCAGTTGGATTAAAATAGGTTGGTTTCTGTATACCAAACGCTGTCATGATTAGTAGATACTTCCAGAAATTAAAGATTCTGACTCAGGAATGACAGATGAGTATATTCCAGTGTTTTGTTTTTTTTCTTTCACATCTTCTTATACTATATCTTAAAAGTCAAAAAGACCAAAAACAAAAAGCAAAAAACAAAAAAAAAACCAACCCACAAACTTTTGATTTAAAAATTTTAGTTGAAAAGATGTGTCCTGTTTCCAGAAAAAATAAAACAGTTTCAAAGAAAAGCTGAGAGCTTGGGGCATTCGGGTAAGGAAGACAGCAGCTGGAGCTGGAGGAGGTGGCTGGGGCACACAGCGAGGTGCCTGCATTCATAGATGGTCTGAGCAGAGGAGTAGCATCTTTTGTAGCTTAATGGCATTGGATTTTTGTTGTAAGACAGAGGACCTGTGTTTCCATAGTTTAAAAGTTATAATGATATGCTAATTTTTTCCAGTTTTTTACATTTATATATGTTCTTTGATTTTCAAGTCACTAAACCAAGACCAAAATTTTTGTTTCGCAATTAGTGTTTTAAATTTTGATTGTGTTCGTTTAAATATTTCAGTATTGCTTTCAGTAATTTTCTCCACCAGAGACACCCCCCCACTTGAATGAGTCATTGTCTTCATAGTCATTTATCTTTTCTTTTTCTTTATTTTTAATTTACTGATTTTAGAGAGCACAAGAGAAACATCAGTTTGTTGTTTCATTTATTTGTGCATTCATTGGTTCCTTCCTATATGTGCCCTGACTGGGGATTGAACCTGCAACCCTGGCACATTGGGACAACATCCTCACCTACTGAACTACCCGTCCAGGGCTGTTTATTTCTTGTTAAATCTTTCTCATTTTCTTGATGTGGTGTGATACTTTCTTGAACTTTTTGGTTTTGAATTAATGACCCTGTGTGTCTTATCTCTCACATTATACACTAAACCTAACCTCTGGTTCCTAGGTAAGTCAGTAATGTTGTATGCAGCGGAAATGATTCCTAAACTAAAAACAAGGACACAAAAAACAGGAGGTGGTGACCAAAGTCTTCAGCAAGGAGAGGGAAGTAAAAAAGGGAAAGGAAAGAAGAAGAAGTGACCTGGTATGAGAAGCAAGTATGTGATTACTACTGTTAGAGATATGAATGGAGGTTTCTAATTTGTATCTGAGAGACACAGGAGCTTTTGGTTTGTATCATTTAACTGACTGAACATTTGTGCCTCCCAACTCCAGCATCAGAGTTGACAATGAAATAAATTTACATCAGAAGTTTGCATCTAGTTCTTTTGCAGTATAAAAGAAAACATTTTTTTTGCCTTTCAATGCAGAGGTTTTGTGGAAGAGAGAAGCTTATTTTAAAATGGATAATGGACTCCACCATAAGTTACTTGAAATCCTGTATCCTCTATGTAAAAAACATGTTTGGATAAATGAATTTAATAAAATTTGAAACACATTTTGTTCCCCTTTTAAGTTAATGAAATAAAATTTGAAACTGACTTTTGTAGCTTCTTCTTACAAACTGATCAATGCCCAGTGGGAGAGATAATTAAAAGAGACTAAGATGAGTAGTGGAAGTTTAGTATGGGCCTAAAACTAGGAGAAAGTGGTTAAATCCTCTTGGAGGTCTATGAACAGCCAGTCTATAAATCTTACTCATTTAATTAGTTGTTCTCATTTAATTGTTCAACTACTGTTTTTTTGACATACGTAAAGTACTTGAGTTTAAAGCTTTAAAAAGATTTGCTTATTTTGTGGGCTTAAGAATACTGTTTTAATTGGATTCCTAAAATTACCTATGTTTCAGCACCTTGAGATAATACTTTTTAAATAAATTATATAGGTGATTCTAACTTTTATCACAAAACACTTTCAGAAAGTAGTAATTTTTTTTGTAAAATTTAAGAGAATCCCTACCCAGCCGTATGTTTTTGTCCACTGAAACTCTTTAGAGGAACTGCCTTCTCTGACTCCGTATGCTTTTGGAAGGACCGTTAAAGTCGCACCACATAACATTCCCGTTAGTGATGGACCAATGTGTACGATGGTGGTCCCACAAGATTATAATGGAGCTGAAAAATTCCTATCACTCAGTGACGTCATAGCTGTTGTAAATTTGGAGACAATGCATTACTTACATGCATGGTGATGCTGGTGTAAACAAACTTGCGCTGCCAGTCATATAAAAGTATTGCACATAAAATTATGTACATACAGAACATAATACTTGATAATGATGACAAATGAATTAACTGGTTTAGGTATTTACTGAACTTTCTATTGCTATTTTAGAATATATTTTTTCTACTTAAAAAAAAAGTCTGCTATAAAGCTGTATGCCATGTTATTCCAGCAGCAGCCTCATATAGCTTGTGCTTACTATGTCTCTTGATTACATTATTTTCTGTTGTGCTTGATTGAGTCTTGTGTTGTGTTATACGTTGAGTGCAGCCTACATGTGCAGTAGTGTGGACCTGTCCCAGGCAGGCCTTCACGTTCACTCGCTGCTGCTTACTCACTGACCCACCAGAGCAACTTTCAGTTCTTGAAGCTCCATTCACAGTAAGTGCTCTATACAGGTGAAAAGATTTTTTAATCTTTTATACCGTATTTTACTATGTCTTTTCTATGTTTCCATATGCTTAGATACATAGACACCCATCGTGTTATAATCGCCTGCACTATTCATCACATAATACTGTACAGGTTTGTAGCGTAGGAGCCATAGACTCTACCACATAGCCTCGGGTGGTCTCATCATTGAAGAAGTGCATGTCCATCTTCAGCTGCAAAGCAGGCTGGGAAAGAAGATACATAGCTTTTTCAGTCCTGATAGTAGAGGCAGCCAAGAAGAAAGTAGTTGAGAATGGGTATTGAGGCAGCCAAATTAAAAGATTTGTCACAGAAAGATGACTGGAGTCTAAAATTGCTTTAGTTCTGGGGCAATAAGACTTGCCATAGAGGTTTCAGAACTACTGCTCTAACATTGTAGTGCTCTTTCTTCACATTGTTGTAATCAGTGCTTTAATTGAACTATCCTTTGCCAACAAGTGAAAAATGGAATCTCTAATGAGCAAGATTGAACATTTACTCATATGTTGACATACTGTTTGTATTCACTTCAGTGAATTATGTTCACATCCTTTGCCCACTTTTTAAAGACTTTATTGTTATCAATATTATACCTGTACATAATTAAAGAGCCAGCTAGTTTTAATAGTTTAAATTTTAGGCATTAACTTCCATCTTAGGAGGATTTAGTTTTCCTTCCTTTACCCCCACCACATGCATGCCTGCTTCCCATCTTCCTTCCTACCAATGTATTTCATATTTTTAACACTACTCACAGTTTACATTATCACCATATATTCCACTTGTAGCTGAGCCATGTGCTGCCTTTGTTACTCGAAAATGTGGTCAGGAGTCAGTAGCACGGACCTCCCCGGGACCTTGCGAAACGTGTGGAATCTCACTCCAGCCCAGAATTCAAACACATTGAACAAATCCCCAACTAGTTCCTACACACATTTAAGGGTTTGTTTGTTTTTGTTTTTTTGCAAATGACATTTTTCAAGTTAATTTACTATATAGAAACGGAAACTTGTTATGGAAAGCGGGGGTGTAGTTTTTGTCACTGTCCCCACACACACATACACTAAACTACTGTAAATTTATATTTATATACTTAGCACACATTGGGGTTTAAGAAACACTGAAGTATGCTGTGGATATTTTTATTTCCTGCACTTATGTTTTCCTTAGAGCTACTATTTTTTCTTTAATTTTCTAAATATCACTATCTCAGCTACAAATAACCCACCGTCAAAATGTCCTTTCAAAAAGTTTGCTCACATCAGGCAGTTTATTAATTTCATCATTGTAAAGAGGTCTCTTCTGCAGCCTTTTACCTGGCTTCAGTCTGCTGGTCACCTTAGGCCGAGGGCACAGCTTCATTCTGGGTTCTCTTCACTGTCACCTGGAGTGGCTCCATCGCTTTGCTGTTTCGGGTGTCTTGTATTAGTGTATCCTGTGTATTGCTTTTTTTGGGAGTTGTTTTGTATAACCCATCTTCAGGCTCTTCCTGGGAAAAATGCAAGGAGGGTGGATAAATATTCTTAGACCTTGCATATCTGAAGGTGTCATCATTCTGCCCTTTTGGCTAGGTATAGAATTACTATTGGAAATCATATTTCAGAAGTTCAAGGGCATTTCTTCATCGTCTTCCAACTTCTGTTACAGTTGCAGGAAAAAACAGCTTATTCTAGTTCATGGTCTTTGTGACCCGTATTAATCTGTTGAAACCTGCAACATCTCAGTATTCTGAAATACCACGATAGTGTGCTTCATATGGGTCCTTTTGTCCATTGTGCTGGGTACTTAATGAGCTCTTTCAGTCTGGAAACTTGTGTTCTTAAGTTCTGGGAAATTTTCTTGATCTTTGTTGGAATCCTGATTTGAATACTGGACATGATGGACTAGTACTCAAATTCTCCTCTTTTTCTTAGCCTTAATGTTCTATTTCCTAGAATTCCTCAGCTTTATCTTACAACACTCCTCTTGAAATTTTTACTTTTGTATTTTCAACTTGTCTAAGCTCTTGCCATCTGAATGTTTCCTTTTTCCAGCATTCTGTTACTTCATGGATGTAATTTATTTCTCAGAGGATATGATTTATTTTCCAAATTTCTTTTTTGTTTTTTTTTTAAATGCTCACCTGAGAATAGTGGAAGGGAGAGAAAGAAATTCCAACCAGTTGCCTCCCATATGTGCCCTGACTGGGGATCAAACCCGTAGCATTTTGGTGTACAGGACGACACTCCAACCAACTGAGCAACCTAGCTAGGGCCTTCTTTTTTTTATTTTGATCCCTGTCCTGTTAAGTGGGTTTCCTTTTTCTTTCTTTTTTTTTAAGTGTGAAAATCAAAAAGCCAATTGGAAGTTCTGAGCACACAGGGCTTGCGTACTGTTTCACTAAAAGGATATCTGCTGAGATGTTTTCTGGGAAATTTCCAAGATCAGAGGTGTTTTTCTCTTAAGCTGGTCTGCTTCCCCAGGAGTCTAATGAGCTCCAGGGAGATTAAGGGTCCAGAAACCTAGTGGAGAATGTGGGTTGGAGAAATAGGTCTCAGCTTTTAGTCACTCAATCCTGTTTTTAAACCTCCAGCCTTTTGCTTGAATAGGGATAGGGTAGGTTTTCACCAACCCGCCTTATTTGAGTGCCCTTTCTATATTGATTGCTCTTTATAGTTATTTTGATATTGGATGTGACTTTATAATGAAATTTCTATATTCAGAGACTAGGTAAGGTAGGCAGAGTAATGCGCCCCACTCCCCCAGCCTGTGGTCGTGTTACTGCCTCCACGTGGCAAAAGAGACTTTGCAGGTGTGATTAAGGATCTTGAGCTGGTATAAGCGTATCTCAGAAATATTGTGGGTTCAGTTCCAGACCACCATATAATAAAGCGAATATCGCAATAAAGCAAGTATAATCTTCTTGCTGGGGTAGTCTTGCGTTCAGTTTGTAAAAAACACACCTGTGAGGCGCAATAAGGGGAGTGCAGTAAAACAAGGTATACCTGTCGTGGGTTGCCCAGGTGGGCCCAATGTAATCACAGGGGTCATTATGAAGGGAAGCAAGAGTGCTAGAGTGACACAGGTGGAGGAGTGCAGGCGGTCTCTAAGCTGACGGAAGCAAGGAAGCAAGGAGATGGCTTCCGTAGTGTCCGAGGAGGAATGCAGCCCTGCCCACCCATTTTGGGTGTCTGACTTCCAGAACTGTAAGCTAATGAACTGTGCTGTTTTAAGCCAATATATTTGTGGTACTATATTAACAGCAGCAATAGGAAACTAACACATCAGGTGAACTATTGGGTTGGCCAAAGTTTGTTTAGCTTTTTCCGTAGTATGGCTCTGGTAGTGCTTAGTTGTCTTTTAATTTCATTTGAAACAATTTTGTTAGACTGTATCGTGACAGCTCTCACATCAGCATGCATTAAAAAAGTGAAAATAAAAATTGGTGAATTTTTGTGCAGCCATTTTAATGTTGAAGATGGAAGAAAATACACAACATTTTTGGTGTATAATGCTTTATTACTTCAAGAAAGGTAAAAATGACCGAAATGCAAAAAAAAAAAAAAAAAAAAATGTGCGTTTTATGGAGAAGGTGCCATTACTGATCGAACATGTCAAGGTTTCTTGGTACTAATGACATTTTGGCCAAGTAAGTCTTTGCTGTCGGGCCGTCTCACGCATTGGGAACTGTTTATTTAGCAGCACCCCGGCCTCTGCCCAAAAGACGCCAATGGCAGGAGATGGCCGACAGACTTAAAGTACACAAATCAATATGGTGAAACACTGAAAACTGCGTCTTTTCTTTTACAGAAAAAAAACTAAACAGACCTTTTGGCCTACACAGTATCTAGTAAGACAAATTCTCCAGACCTCGGAACTGTTGGCCTCCTTAGTAGTCTCTACTTAGTGGTTCGAAACCCTAGATACATGTTAGGAGCACCGGAAGACTTTTTAGACGCATTCTGGCACCTGGGTACCACAGTGAACTGTCAAAATTTCTGGTAGTGTAGTCCAATACCAGTATTTTTAGAAAGCTCCCCAAGTGATTGTAGTGAAAAGCTCTGTATAGTAAGTGTAAAGATAGCATTTACCTAACAGTGGTTTTATCTTAAAATGTGGTTCCTGGACCATCAACATCACCTGGGAACTTGCTGGAAATTTAAATTTTTCAGCCCTGCCCAAGATCTGAGTGAGAAGTTTTGGGAAAGGGGCCAGCAATCTGTGTTTTAGCAACCTGCACCCCTCCCCACCCCAAAGGGATTCTGGTGCACACTAAAGTTTGAGAACCACTATCTAACCAACCTCCTTACTGCTTAATCTCTGAGGTGTGTGTCATAAAGAGATATAAGAATATTGTGGTAACTTTTAATTAAGGTCAGTCTCAAATATATTTACTTTCCTGCTGTACTGTATAGAACTATAATATTTGATGGCTATAATATCGCAATTGTGTTATTCTAAACACATATAAAGATTGTAGACATAGACATGTAGAGACAGATATAGGAGACAAAGCTAATACACCCTCCAGCAGTAGGTATTTTTAATAAAATCCTCAAGTTCTTGGTCTCAAAGTACAGAATAATTTAGAGGCACATAGAAGGGTTTACTACATTAAAATATATACAACTTGTGTCATGAGAAGTGTGTGTAATACAATATGTGAGTAGAAAATGGTTTAGATTTCCTTTAAGTCAAATGAGAAATGGGATTAATAAACAGCAGTGTTTAAGGTTCATTTACCTATATTCAGAATTAGGCTAGTTGTTTTTAAAGCCCCACAAAATGAAATGTAACAGTTCTGTGAGATAATGGAATTTTATTTACATCCATTTCCGTTCAGTATACCACATCTTCAGGATAGGCAGGAACTTATTTAAAGGCTATGCTCATTTTCTTCAGGCTGTGGACAGAAGGCTCCCGCGGAGCAGTGATTACTGATCTGGAACCTTTCAAGTAGAAGAATTGCTGTAGGGATTCCGTAACTTTACATATCCCCCAAATACCATTCCTGTACAAACAAATGCTTGTCTTCTAGCTAGACACAGGCTTAGTTTTCAAATACTGTAGCATGGCGAAATGTTACTTGGGAAATGGAAACTGAGACAGAATTGTTCAACTCATAACTTGTCTTTAGCATGTATAGTTTGCCAAAAACAGTAACAAATTTCTTCCAGAATGCACTGTAGGAGAAAACAAAAAAAATTGCATTCAGAATATATTTTCTCACTGTAGCCATTTTTAAACTGATATTAGCCTGTAAGTAGCTACAAGCAATAGTAACCTTTAATATCTTGCCTGATAATATATTCTATATAGTAACGATCTGATGATATGTTTTGATTGGTAGAGGTTGCTCATTTTCATTCTCTTGCCACCAAGAAAAGGGTACTTTATTTTTCGGGAAAGGGACTTAAATACCCTTACAGGTATTTTTTTTAAACTAAGGTTTGATTTTATCCAAATAATCGCTTTCGTCCTAAAGGTTTTTAAAATTAAGTTCAATAAAATGCCTTATGATCACCAGTATTGTCCCTTAAGAAAAATGCCCTGATCCATATTGTAATATTTGGGTGATATATCATACCTTATTTTTTATTATCTTTAGTATTTTTTACATCATGAGACATCATTATGATCTTACCTGTTATTGAAAGTAACTAATTGTTTATTAATCATTTATTTGCCTTAAAATGCTTCTCGTATGCACCTTGACCAGGGATTGAGCCCGCAACCCAGACATGTGCCATGCCCTGACCAGGAATTGAACCAGTGACCTTTTACTTTGCAGGGTGATGCCCAACCAAGCCACATCGATCAGGGTTCATCTTGGTAGTTTTATTGTACTCTTCGGTCAGTTTAGTCTAATTATTGGAGTACGGTTGGTATAAAGCTTTTTCTAGTCCAGACAAGCTAGTTGGCTGAGCAAACTGGAGACACTGACTTGAACTTTTTGCTATATACTCAAATTATGTAGTTACATGAAATTTATCAAATTAAAGCATAAAGATGAAGGCATTTAGGCCGACTACAAGCGATTCTGACTTGTGAACTGGGGAGGCCTCTAGTGTTTGACCTTGAAGGCCAGAGAAAGAAGGTGAAGGCAGTTTTACTTAACCAGATTACAGGTTATACCATACGTCCTTTCAGTCTCCCAAAATTGCTTTTAGAGCCTGGTGTCATCATTAGCACGTACTGCTGGCTAATGACATAAACAAGAACATACATGTAATCAGGGGTGGGCAAGCCTCTGGAGGGTCCTTAAAGTGGTTTAAAAAAAGACTGGGGGGAAAAAAAACAAGGCTAAACCAACATGATAGCATTGAGGGTGGAACCAGGGATGATTTCCACTTTAGCATCTCAAAAACAGACAAAATAAAGCTTATAAGCAGGTTATCAAAAGGCCATAAGACAGTATTACTAGTTCAACAGGAATTGGGAGCTGTGATTACTGATGTGTGCACATTTCCCCATTTATCAGCAAAGTGACTACTGTACAAAGCTCTTTTAGCATTCAGCTGCTGCAATGTTAAGAAAGCCACCGGCACAACCTCCATTCAAATTCATTTATCGCTTAACTAATCATTCCAATTATTACTCATTTGTAGTAATTTTCTCAAGTGTTTTTTAGCAGATTACACCGGCACAGTGGAACCTCCAGATTTTGGCAGGTGCTCTCCAAGAGCATTATGCATGTTATAGTCAGTACATTTCCCTACATATATGTATGCGCCAATACATCAAAAACATTTAATACAAAACTGTACCTTACATGAAGTAGAACCTTAAAGAGTGTCCTAAAATATAAGTACAAAGAAAATGCATGCAAAGAGAGCCCATTAAAGTACAAAGCCCATGGGATATATAATTTTATTTTAAGTTTATATTTCTGGCAGGATAGTAAATACGTCTTATCCTACCAAGAGGCAAAATATATTTTCCAAAAATTTGAATACTGCCCATTGCATTAAATTTAAATTAAAGGGTTCCCTACGTATATAGACAGTAAAAGTAAGCAAAAAAAACCCCAACACATTCCATTTTTAAATATATCAAAAATGTTTCCAAGGCAACATTAAAATGATTATACCACAGTCCCTAACACAACATCAAGCTCTAACAGGAAGGTACAGAGGGCAGGAGGCTCCATCCAGTTGGGTTTAGGTGCTCTTCTTTTCATCACCCAGCAAATTCACGGCAGCTTTCTTGACTGTTAGGAAGAAAGGAAATTATATCAAAGCTTTTTGCAGTACAGGCTCTGTGCATAATGTAGCTACTAGATAACTGGGATGACTCATGTTCAGATGAGAACACACTGAGGTTTGTGGTCAGGGCTAAAAAAGTTTCCAGGAAATGGACAAGAATTACTTGATGGCACAGATCCTGAGTACTTGAGCAAAGCTCTTGAAGGTCATCTACCCTAGCCTCCCGGTAGTGACACTACCACCCAAGTAAGCCCTCTGTCCGCCTGTGAACATCACACACACACACATTGCTGGGGCTTTTCCCTCTGTACAACCAAGAAATTCTCGTTTGTATCTGGGTGATCACCTGTAGAATTTACTGTCTCAATCTGATGATAACTAGGTCATCCATCTATTCTGTGACCAAAAACAGCCCTAGAAATGATGGTATGTTTGTACACATGTATATTCTCATTGTGCCACCATTTCCTCCTACGATGGGAAGAGTGTGCTGCAAGTCTCTGAGTTGGTGGCAAGATACTACATTCATGAAGAAAGTATCTGTTCTTCTGTGGGAAACCAAGCCTTCTGCTTCTTAACTACCAAGTAGCTTAGAATGTGCTGGGAGAACTAGTGTGGTATGTGAGATGGAGAGGGTGCATTTTCCGGAAGCCTCCAGGGCCTCCTGTGAGTCCACGCTGAGGCTATTTTTGATGGAGGCACAATCCAAAGATAAGAGCCAAGTCTCTCCTTGTTCACAGGCTGGCAGCTGCTCTCCATTCAATTAAAATTGCTGAACAAAGTTAACAAATTGTAGCCTCTCAACTAGAAATGTACTTTCTGTGCATTTGTAAAATGTACTTCCTGGAGAATCCAGAAGTTTTGAGGAAAGTCTAATATGTATCGGCATTTAAGTTCCTCATTTTAATTCTCAAACCCCTGTTTAGGAATGTATCACAGCACAGTAAAACTGGATTAAAATTGGACTTTAGAGTATTGCTATCTAAGAGAGCCAAGACGCTAGGAAATGTGAGCAAACTAGACAGAAATGTTATCACCAGAGGCGGACGGTTAGGCTGAGGGCAAGGAAGAACAGAAAAGAAAGTTCTTAAAAGCAACTGGTGACTCCAAAATGGGAGCATGTGAAGGTTACAAGTTATTCTTAAAAATGTAGAAAAATGTGTTGGAATAGACTGCAGCTCTGGGGACAGAAAGGGGTTCAGTGGAGAGGCCCGAGAGGGAGAAGTGGGAGGACACATCATGCTGGGGCACCAGAGCTGCTGGAGAGGGGCCAGGTCACCCCTCACCCTCCACTTTCTAATTAGAGCATAGAGCTCTAACAACAACCACATCCCCGAATGTCATGTCCATCGCCCCCTTTTCTCCAACTTCTGAAAACCTTTACTGTGCCCTCTGGAACTTAAGACCCATCAGCAGCAAAGTCACCCCTATTTTCAGCCATTTCTCCAAATATTCCCTTGACCTTGCTTTTACAGAAATATGGTTATCCCCTGAGGACACTGTGTTCTCATGTGGCCGCTGTTTTTTTTCCCTTCTTCCATGACCCTAGTGCCACCTTGTTCTTCATTGCCACATTCAGAGGTTCATGTCATCAGATTATATCTCCCACTAGCATTTCTTTTCCCAGTCATCTCTGGTCCTTGGGCCATGTTGACTTATTTCTTTTAAGATTTTTGCTATACGGTCAATATCACTAATACCATTGCTATTTTAATTACTGGTGATTTCAACAGCCACATAGTGATCCTTCCAATATCCTGACCTCTTAGTTCTTCCCCTCCAAGAACCTTTATATGCCATCCGACCTACTCTGCCTACCGCAGCCACTCATTCTCCTGGGTCTTGTCACTACCAATAGCTGCAGCCCCTCCACATTCTCAGCGTCAAGCACCCCACTCTCCACCATTCCCTCCTACCTTTGTAACTCACTCCTATTACCCCGATTCAGAATTCTTCCCCCACAACTGGTTTTATTACCCACTGACCTTACCACCTTTGCCTCTTCCTCACTTTGGTTCTCGCCCAGCTTAAATTCCATCCTCAAACATTGACACTCCTTAGTCCCACTCTCACTTCATAGTTACTTAACAAAATTAACCTTGACAGTACTCTCCACCTATTCTGAATGTGGTTGGAGAAAAACAGTTGAACCAGCCTCACTTTAAGTCCATGGACACAAATCTCAAGTGAACCTGTAACACTGCCTGGCCATCTCATGACAATATCCCGGGCCACTCACTCTCCCAGTGTCTCAGAGCGACCCGCAGATTAAAGCCACACTCACTGGTTTATGTGCGGTCTATAGCTGCTTTCACACTACAATGGGAGAGCTGAGTACGAGCAACAGATGGCCTGCAAAAACGAAAGCATCTGGCCCTTTACAGAAAGAGTTTCCTGATCCCAGTCCTAGAGAACTGTTTCATACCTTCTCCTCTTCCCATCCTATCCTCTCTCTCTTGACCTTTTTTTCCTACTTTACAGAGAAATTTGAAGGAATCAAAAATTACTTCAATAAGCTCCCACCATCACATGTACTCACCAGCATTTCACCCATAAACTCTGATGTCCCTCCTGTTGTTACACACTGCCGCTGCTCCCATGACCGCTCCCTCTATTTGTACACTAGATCCTGTCTCCTCCGGTCTAGTCAAGGACAGACTGCCAGCAATTCACCCTCTCACCCGTGTCATTTTCTTGCTCTTTACTGGATCACTCCCATTAATTCTCATACATACTTTGTTTCTTTCCACCTTAAGGGAAAGGAAAAATAAGTCCTCAGGACACTACTTCCTTTTTCCAGTTATAGTCCAATCCTGCTCCTTTGCAGAAAATTTCTCAAAACAGCTGTCTGTATTCTGTCATGTCTTTCCTCCCATTTCTCTCAAATGCATTCCAGTCAGCATTTTGCTCCACCGCTCCCCATATCTGATTTGTCAAGATCACTAGTGCCTTCCTCACTGTTAAATCCAACAGTCGGTGTTCAGGCCTTCTCATCTTACTTGTCCCAACTGCATCATGTGACACAATGAGTCACTCCCTCCTCTTTGAAACACTTCCTTCATTGACACCAGTCTCAAGCTTTTCTTGTCACCTCAACTGGCCACTCCTTATCAGTCTGCTTTGCTGGTCACTTCTCATCTTCTCAATTTCTAAACATTGGGGGCCCCAGAATTCAGTCCTCAGACCCAGTCTTTTCTAACCACATTCACCCCCTTATTTATCTCATTCAGTCTCATGTTTTCTGTCTATGTGCTGGTGACCCCCAAATTCATATCCCCAGTCCAGACCTGTCTCTTCAGTTCCTGTTGTCTATATCCTGATGGCTGTTTGACTACTCTATGTAGCTACCTAACAGACACCTCAAAGTTATGTCCGAAAATGAATGCCTAATTTTCCCTCTCAACCTGTTACGCCCAGTCTTCCCCAGCTCAATGGCCATTTTTATCCTTCTGTGTGTTTGAGCTAAAAAGCTTGTCCTCGTCCTTGACTCCTCGCTCATACTGCACACCCAAGTCCTATTGGTTCTACATTCTAATCCATCTAATCCAATCTAATCTATCTAATCTAATCCAGGGACTTCTTACCGCCTATTGCTACCATTGTGAACCAAGCCACCACTATCACCTCCAGCCAGATCACCACAATGGCCTTTTAACTGCTTTTCTCATTTCCTCCCTTGTCTTCAGCCTAATCTTAATACAGTGGCCAAAGTGACTCTGTTAAAACACAGGATGGATCATGTTGCTCCTCTGATCAAAATTCCCCATCTAACATAGAGGAAAAGCCAAAGCCTTTACAATATCCTATAAAGCATTACATGATCTGTCTTCTTCCAGCCTCCACTCTTCAACCTCACTGAACTTGTCTTCTACTCTCCCTCCAGGTCATTCTCTTCCAACTGTACTGCCCCCGACTCCAGGCTTCTGCATGAGCGAGTCCTTCTGTCTGGAGCATTCTTCTCCATGGTCTCTTCCTTTACCGCTTTCATGTCTGATTCAGTACAGCCTTCTTGGAGAGGATTTCCTAAATCACTATTAAAACTTGTAACCTTCCCTTCAGCCCCTAGCACTCCCTATCTTTCTATCTGCTACATTTTCTCTTTCTCAACTGCTAACTGTACCATATATCTTACTTTTTAATTCTCTCTCACAACAAGATTGTAAATCTTCCAAAGTTCAAGGAGTATGATCTGTTTGGTTCACTGGTTTATCCCCAGTACTGTGAACATGCTTGGCACATATTAAGCACCTCAGTAAATACCTGCTGAATGGATGAATCAGAGAGCTGAGAGAAAGACCATTCTATGGGACCTATAACAAAAGCAATCTCGATAGCATATTAAGCAGTCCAACCTGAAGTGAATTCAAGAGATATCTGAATATAAATATATAAGATTCTCTCAAATCTCTGTCCACCACACCAAGTCCTTTTTCCTAATGTGCTAAATGAACGGTGTATTAATGTGGCATGGAGGAAGAATCTTGGGGAAAGTAAAGGACAGTAGGCAAAGTCTTGGTAAAGACATCCCGAGTAATCTTGGTATTTGGCTGAGGAAATCTGACAGGACGAGGAGGCCAGGGAGCTGACTGCTTGCGCCCAGTGTATCACACCCCCTCTCACATGCTGGACCAAGCTGTCCCGAGTCTCACCTTCTTTAGTGATGGCATCTGCAGTCCCTTTGGCTTTGTCCTTCATTTCATTCACCACATTGTCTACCTGGGACTCATGCTTCAGGAAGATAGGGCGGATGATGCGCTTGTAGAGCAGTTCTGCCCCATTAGAGGGGCTCGGGGCCATGCACCACAACAGGAAGCCGCACTGCACAGAATGAGAACCAGCATGGTAACAGGAGGGGAGTGGGCACCCTGACAACACACTGCCCGCTGCAACGCTGTGGGTGGCGCTGCCTGTGCTATTTTCTCCAACGGCATTGCTACTATCTTCTGCAAGCTACAAGTGAGCTTTTCTTAGATGGAAAATGTGACAAATGAAGGGCTAGTAAGGAAAAGCTGAGACTGAAAAAGAAATGTAAAACACATCAAGCCCAGCAGCTTAATTTCCTTCCTAACTTGTACTGCTTTTAGTTATAAAAGTTTTTATTAATTATAACTCTTCAGATTTAATTGTTTAAAAAAAATAGCACTTATCTGCATGCGTAAAGCCCTGTACAGATAAGACTAATATCCATGAGGCTTGTTCTTAGTAGGCTTACCTTGGTAAGTTTGTCATATTTATTAATCCTGTTATAGGAAAAAATACCCTGGCCATTCTTGAAACCTTCCCTTAGTGGAATCTCAGTTTTGAGTAGCTCTTAGCCTTCAAGTAATCTTTATAGTCATGTGTTTCTCTTCTGTCATCGTGAATGTAGATATTATTCCTAACTCATTTTTATGGCTCTACTTTGCCACTGAGATTTGAAAAAAAAAAAAAATTGACAAGAACTCTACCCTAAAAACTTAAAAGAAAACCCCAACAAGAACTGTCATACTATATTTATATCCAAAATAATTGTACTGTTTATTCGAAAGATAAGTAACAACTCAGCACTTTCGAGTCTTCCAAGCAGGTTATTCCTTTATAATGAGCAAAAAAGGGACCATCCAGAGTGATACGCTCATTTCCCTATAAAGTTTAATAAACTACATGCGACTAGGTTCTTTTCATTTAAAATTCTAACACTCAGCCTAGCTGACTCTATAAAAAAACAAAATTCATTTCTTGAGATTCCAAATCTGTATTTTTTACAACTTAAAGTAACTAACCCCTCATCTTCTTGTGCCACAAATTTAACTCTGTAGTCTTAATCCTTGTTATTCTAAACCAAAGAATGTATTTGAATAATCAAGAAGTTATACTGCTTTTCTAAAACAATCTTTTGAACTTAAAATGAACATATTTGTGCCCTAAAGCTCACTTCATCAGTACTATGTTGGCTCTAAGAAATTTGTATTATATTCTGAAATTACATTACACTCAAAATAAATAAAATGCAGGTTCTCAACAGATTATTCTCTCTAGATTATCTGAACTATATAACTCTGGGAAAGAAACAGTCATAAATTAGAATTTTTACAGACCTAAGAGCAGGGTTGGGCAAGCTTTCAAAGGATGGTTATCAGACTGGATTGTGAAAAATAAACTATAGCTATATGCTTCTTACAAGAAACACACCTAAGATAAAACCAATTAAGAACACTTAAAGGGACTTCCAGCAAAGATGGAGGCGTAGGTAGATACACTGCCTTCTCGCACAACCAAATGACAGACAACAACAAATTTAAAAACAAAAACCAACCAGAACTGCCACAAAATCTAACTGTATGGAACTCCAACAACCAAGGAGTTAAAAAAGAAACATTCATCCAGATTCATAGGAGGTGCAGAGACAGGCAGCCTGGGTGGAAAGGATGTGTGGCAAGGCAGCAGCTGGAGGACCGAGCAAGGTGGCTGCGGGCAAACCAGGTGGTCCCACATTTGCCCATGCAGATAAACTGGGAGGGCCAACGAGGGAGTGAGAAGGGCTGCGCAGCCCAGGGTTCCAGCGTGGGAAACTCAAGCTTTAAAACCTCTGGCTGTAAAAAGCTGTAGGGGTTGCGGCAGCGGAAGAAACTCCCAGCCTCACAGGAAGTGTTCTTTGGAGAGAACTATATAACCCCACAGGGTCCTAGAACATACACAAACCCACCCACCTGGGAACCAGCACCACCAGAAAGGCCCAATTTGCTTGTGGTAGTAGGGGAAGTGACTGAAAGCATTTTGAGAGCCCAGAAAGCGGCACTGTTCCCTCTTTGACCTCTCCCCCACAGAGAGAGCCACAACACAGCGACATGGGTTGCCCCGCCCCAGTGAATACCTGAGGCTCCACCTGGTACAACGTAGTAAGTGCACTGAGAAAAAGAAATATGGCCCAAATGAAAGAACATATCAAAACTCCGGAAAAAAAAATACAACTAAGCAATGAAGAGGTAGCCAACCTATCAGTTGCAGAGTTCAAAACACTAGTAATCAGAATGTTCAAAGATACGGTTGAGTATGGTCACAGAATGGAGGAAAAAGTGAAGGCTATTTAAAGTGAAATAAAGAAAAATACACAGGGAACCAACAGTGACGGGAAGGAAACCTTCCCTTTCTTCTGGGACTCAAATGAACAATCTGGAGCAGAAGGAAGAAATAAACTTTCAACTACAACAGAATGAAGAAACAAGAATGCAAAAAAATGAGGAAAGGCTTAGGAACCTCTGGGACAACTTTAAATATTCCAACATCTGAATCACAAGCATGCCAGAAGGAGAAGAGGAAGAGCAAGAAATTGAAAACTTAGTTGAAAAATTAATGAAGAACTTCCCAAATTTGGCAAAGGAAACAGACTTCCAGGAAACTCACAGAGTCCCAAAGAAATTGGACCCAAGAAAACACACATTAAGGTACATCATAATTACATTACTCAAGATTAAAGGTAAGGAGAGAATCTTAAAAGCAGCAAGAGAAAAGAAGACAATTACCTACAAAGGAGTTCCCATAAGACTATCAGCTGATTCTCAAAAGAAACCTTGCAGGCAAGAAGGGCCTGGATAGAAGTATTCAAACTCATGAAAGACAAGGACCTATATCCAAAATTACTTTATCCAGCAAACCTATCATTTAGAATGGAAAGGCAGAGAAAGTGCTTCCTAGATAAGGTAAAATTAAAGGAGTTCATCATCACCAAGCCATTATTACATGAAATGTTAAAGGGACTTATCTAAGAAAAAGAAGCAGATCGAAACTATGAACAGTAAAATGACAACTAACTCAGAACTATCAACAACTGAACCTAAAAAACAAAAACAAATTAAGGTACCAACTAGAACAGAAACAGACTCACAAAAATGGAGATCACATGGAGGGTTATCAATGGGGAGAGAGATGGGGAGAAGGGGGGAAAAAGGTATAGGGAATAAGCATACACAGTAGGTACAGAATAGATAGAGGGAGGTTAAGAATAGTATAGAAAATGGAGAAGCCAAAAAACTTGTATGTATGACCCATGGACATGAACTAAGGGTGGGGTGGAATGCTGGAGGGAATGGGGGTGCAGGGCCAAGGGGAATAAAGGGGAGAAAGAAATGGGACAACTGTAATAGCACAATCAATAAAATATACTTTAAAAAAATAAAATAAAATCTTGATTTCAAGATATATACATATTTCTCTACTCAACAAACAGGGATTCTAAAAGGATTATATACTACATTATATAGAGGATAAGAGTATGGTCTCAGAGAAACTGGGTTCCAGTCCTGGTTCTGCCACTTACTGGCCTGGCAAACATTGTTCATGTTACTTAATTCCTTAAGTCTGTTTTTAACCCCATAATATAGTTATTGACTGAAATTTTAAAATAATCAACCTCAGCCCTGGCTGGTGGGGCTCTGTGGATTGAGCACTGGCTTGCAAACCAAAAGGTCATCAGTTCGATTCCTGGTCAGGGCACATGCCTGGGTTGCGGGCCCAGTCCCTGGTTGGCAGTCTGCAAGAGGCAACTGATAAATGTTTCTTTCTTGCACATTGTTGTTTCTCTCTCTCTCTCTTGCCCTCCAATCCTCTCTCTCTAAAAATAAATAAATAAAATCTTGGAAAAAAAATCTTTAAAAAAAATCACCCTCATACATATTTTGTATAAAATAAGAAACAATTGGAGCACTTGGTGTTGTGTCTGTCCCAAGAATACCATGTCTTCTACCAACATCCATGAAACAGTTAACAGGCTCAGCTGGTAATTTTATGTGGGATAGAATCAAATCCCAGAACCAACATACACTCTTTTTAAACAATCAGGTTGGCCAAAAAGTTCGTTTAGTTTTTTTCCCCTATGATCGTTCTAGTAGTGCTTAGTTTTCTTTAACTTCATTTGAAACAATTTTGTTCAATTGTACTGTGACAGCTGTCGTATCAGTGTGCAGGTGTGGCTCAGCTGACTGAGTGCCCACCTATGAACTAAAGGGTTGCCGGTTCGATCCCCATTCAGGGAACATGCCTGGGTTGTGGGCCAGGCTCCCAGCAGGAGGCATGTAAAAGGCTACCATACACTGATCTTTCTCTTCCCTCTTTTTCTCCCTCCCTTCCCCTCTCTAAAAATAAATAAAATCTTTGAAAAATATAGGTGTTTTCTTGCGAGAAAGAAGATAATTTTTTTTTTAAAACTTACCAAAATTGGTGAATTTTTGTGCAGCCATTTTAATATTTAAGATGGAAGGAAATATGCAACATTTTTAGCATATTATCTTTATTATTTCAAGAAAGGTAAAAACATTACTGAAATGCAAAAAAAGATTTGTGCAGTATATGGAGGATGACTGATCAAGTGTATCAAAAGTGATTTGTTAAGTTTCTTGGTATTACTGACATTTTGGCCAAATAATTCTTTGCTATGGGGCTGTCTTATACACTAGAAGGTGTTTAGCAGCACCCCTGGCCTCTACCCACTAGAAGCCAATAGTGGGAGACAGCCAACATACTCAAATATCCAAATCAGTAAAATTATTCGTAAAAGTGAAAAATGTGTCTTTTATTTTACAGAAAAAACTAAATGAGCTTTTTGGCCAACCCGTTATTCTGTAACTCTCCTTTTACTACCTGAAATAAAATTCAAAGTAATGATACACTTATATACATAATTACCAAACAAAATCCAGATAGTACTCTAATACTCCCTTATCCGAGGGGAATATGTTCCAAAACCACCAGTCAATGACTGAAACTGTGGATAGCACCGAACCCTTTATATACTATGTTTTTTTTCCCCTATACATACCTATGATAAAGTTTAATTTGTGAAC